ATCAAATTTTAATCATTATAAACCAAAATCTACAGCCAAAATCACTCTCCTCGTCTATCCCTGCATGTGAGTCAGGATCTGGTTCTAAGTTTTCTTTCGTGTTGGTTAGAACCTTTTCTTTTTCTTGATTTTACTAATATATCCTACCTTTCGCAAGAATTGACGGACAGCAATGAAATAATTGTGCTCTTTTGGAATTTTACCTTATTCTGAGAAGTCGGCAACAAAGTCACTCTTCGAATGTGAATGAGAAAATTGATAAATTAGTCCGCCTACTCTTTTCAGGACTTCATTTTAGTATTAGAGTTTATAAAATATCAATTTAGTCCCCGATCTCTTTTAATATAAGTTAAAATAGTTTCCAATAAGGGCTAATTTTTTGCCCTTATTAAAACAATCTGGAGATTAATTTAACACTTCTATAAACTTGGAGACTAAAATAACATCATTTAAATAGTCAAGCGACTATTTTAGCACTTTGCGCGAATATTTGTTTTAAGTTCTGCTTACCTTTCTTTCTTTCTTTATTGTTTTATAGCTGCAAATGGGAACCCTCCAGAGTCGTTTAGATGCTGAGTTCCTTCTTGCACATATGTGCTCTGTGAAATTTAAGGAATGGATCGTAATTCTCGCTACTCTCCTAAGGCGTATGGAGGTAAAAATGGTCTCTTATTTTGTTAAGATTCAGTAAAGCTTTTTTTGAATGAATTTTGTTAAGATTTACTATTTCATGCATTGTCAATCATGGGCCGAGTCACCTCAATTTATGATTTTGCCCAATCCTCATAAAAAAAATACCAAATTTAGCCTCTTGTTTATATATTTTATTTTAATTTTTCATATTCTTATCTACTTATATTACCATTTCATAAATCTTATAATATTGTATTACTAGTTATTTATATTTCTTTATACTTTAATAAATTTTTTTTAAGATGGTGGTGAGACCTGCAATGCTTTATGACACATAATATTGGCCTTTATAAGAGAAGCATAAAGCAAGTGTTGTTGAGATGAGAATGCTTAGGTGGATGGGTTGCTTGATACTTGGAGACAAAATGCAAAACTAAATGTATCCATGAAAGGGTTGGTGTAGCTCCAGTGGTAGATAAGATTAGAGAGAATCATCTTAGATGGTTTGATCACATTAAACGCCGACCATTTGATGATCCAGTCAGGAGAGTAGATGTTTTAGATTCAACTTATGTTAAGAAAGGAGAAGTAGACCTAAAAAACTTGGCCATATTTTATAAAAAATTAACTTGATGTATTAGAATTAAATGAAAATATGTCACTCAATAGGACACAATGGAAAAAAAGGATTCATGTAGCCAACCCCACTTAGTGGGATAAAGGCTTGTTGTTGATGTTCTTAGTTATTTATATTTCTTTCCAAAAACACTAACTATATATATATATATATATATATATATATACATATTTTGAAAAAAAACCTAAGGGCAAATATATTAATACAGAAATGATACAGAAATGTTGTATGAGAGGGTCTAACAGAAAATCCAACTCATACAATACAATACACACAAAACCCAAATAAAACAAAGATACATAAAGGCAAAAAATCAAAAAATCACAAAAGGACACAAAAATGATAGGGACGTTCCACTTTAAGTCCTCATGCCTCAAGTTCTCGGAAGTGAGCTGATTAACAAATTCGTAAGGTGAGTACCATTGTCCGTAGTAACCAAAGTATCATACATCAAATTCCTAAGCTCGAGTAGATCTCCATTTATCTTCTTCTACCTGGATGTGTAGACCTGTCATTCTTCATCCGAAGATTGACTTATATGATCAGTAAATTCCAAAGGTGGTCGGACAGGTGTAGGTCGTTGCACATCATGATCCTCATGAGCCTGAGTCATTAACATCTTTTTGGACCTGATGAGGCGGTAGTGAAGTAGAAGTATTTCTACCTGTATTATCGGCGATAGGTTCTATGGCAGACGGAGTCTGAAGAATCTCCCTCTCTCCCACGATAGAAATTTCCAAAGTCTGGGAAGCTACAACTGGGGATGAATGGTTGTCATATTGCCGATGAGGATATTGACGTCTTCCGGGATATTCTTCTGATGATCAATAGTATAAAAAACTTGGTGCTGATCAGGATGAGATAGAATCACAGCCTCTAGCGGAGCACTTTGCTTTTTTGGTCTGAGGTGGGGGTGTAGATGGTGACATTGAGAACTGGAGTGGCCGAACATACGACAATTCGAACAATACGATGGAAAATGCTCAATCTCTACCTTCTGTCAATATTCATGGTGTTGTGTGCCCAATCAGATTTCCTCAGAAGCGGGTGAAGTGATGTCTCTTTCAACAAGTACTCTGGTTTCAGATGGACGGGAAAGATTAAAAGTAGGAATGTCCGTCTTGAATGGCTTTCCATAAGCTGAAGCAAAAGAGTACAATATTTTTTAAGAAAATAATGAAATTTCAGACCGGGGAGACGAATCCAAATCGGAATAATTGGCGGTTCCATCTGTGTGTCAAAATCCACAGACCATTTCAAAATATTCATTGTTCTGTTATCAATTCAGATTATTCTTCTAGCAAATAAGCGCATGTAATCTTCTTTATTGTTAATTTGAATAAGAACGTGTCTCTCATCTAATAGTCCAATTTTTCACTCTTCAACAAGGTGCGTAAGTTCAAATTCTTCGCGAATGAGCTTCATTTTGGGATGATCATATAGAAATTTCCCAACCAAATTCAGACGACATGAGGAAACAAGTTGTATACCATCGTCTTCTGTAAAAAATATGACAGACTTCCCATTATTTCTACCAGGCTTCTTGATGTCCTCCGCCCACTCAAATGAAGGAGGAAAAGATGGTGATTTAGGTGTACCTGAGGCGTGAACACCCGCAAAGACAGCAGCATATGATCTGTTCGAAGTCATCCCCAAAAGAGGGAGGTGGTGCTGTGGGACAGCAAAGTGAAAGTAGAGAAAGAGCAAATGCCGAAAGGGAAGTCGAGCAATGGGTGATTCGAGCAAGAGGAAAGCTCGCGCCCAGACGTCTTTCACAGTATTGCGAGCGACGATAGGAGCCAGAAGCCCGCGAATAGCCTCAATTAATGATTGTGCCCAATTCTTGTTAAAAGAAATACCGAATTTAACTACTTGTTTATATATATTATCTTAATTTTTTATATTCTTAAGTGCTTATATTTCCATTTCGTAAATCTTATAATATTATCTTACTGCTTATTTATATTTTTTTCTAGAAACACTAACGATTTATATATTTTTATTTCTTTAACTATTATGGAAATGGGCTGGTTCCGTCATCTATCATAACTTATCTCACTGGGCTCGGTCATATGCTTCTTCTCAGGTACTTTTCGATCTTTTCCGGCACGATCCAAGGCTATGGAAGGCATACAGCACAACTCTTCAGGTACAATAAATAGTTAAGATACTCCTTCCAAGAAATGTTGATTAAATCAATCAATTACTGTCACTTTTACAGTCTCACCCTGCATTTGAAGAATATCTTGATCTTCTTCATCTGTTGAAGGAGAAGCTTGCTTCTGACACTTATGACAGAGATGTGGATGAGAATCAGATATAATCTTGGTTGCCAAATTTGATTTTCATTTTTTAGTCGTGCGTTTGCATAAAATGTCTTCAGCCTCCTATCTTTGTTGGTCTTTCAAGAAGAAAATGGGCGAAAATGTAATTTCAAGGAAAAGAAAAAAGAAGATGAAAATGAAATTTTGTCATTCACTTCAGAATGAATTGTTAAGACTCAACAGCTTCTTTAATCAAGAAAAGATGAGAGCATTTTGCCAAATTCTATATGGTTTGTAGATGCGAGTTTTGTTGTTCTTTCATTTATATTCGATGTTGTATCAGGTTTTCATTACTGCTTTACTTTCGCAGTCCAAATATATGAATATTATAATGTAAAAGGGGGTATTTGCATATAAAATTATTGGATTTTAATGTTGATGTTCACATGCCCATCTACTGATTGGAATCAGCGGCCCATTAATTAGGTAATGTGCTTTCATTTTCTTACATTTCACCCCATTTCTCTGTATTTACATTTCTAATATAAAAATTTTTGCTACTCTACTTTATGCATGAACAAGTGTTTTCTATTTCGTAAAAGTTAATGTAGTGATATTTTTAATATTTAGGTGTTAGATATGTAAATTCATAGGAATTGGGTGGTTTGTACGTAAATGACATTTTCTTTATTTATTTTGATATTTTGAGTGTTATATATACATAACAAATTTGCATGTTAAATATGTAAATCCTAATATTTGATGTATTCTATGTAAAGCTCCCACTTATTATATCTCGAACTACAGGTATTACAAGTGACATGCTGTTTGAAAGACTGCAAACGAGTTATAAGGGGGATTTTCATAGATACCACATAATTTCTATATATTTATATAGCTAAATTTTAAAATATTTTTATTTATTTGAGGTGTTTTCATTTATATCAGATCAAAAATATTATTGCTGCTAATTTTAAAAGAAATTAAATATTCAGTTTTATGCATAGATTCATGCAACAAAAGTGTTATAAATATAAATATCAAACCGTAAGTGCTACATATGTAAATACAAAGAAATTGTGTGGCATGTATGTAAATTTCCTGTATTTGTCTCTTTAAATTAAGGCTAGGGCGGTGTTTAGCTTTATTAAGTAGGCCGTTTTTGAATTATTTATTAAGCAAACGAAATGTTTTTCTTAAACTCGAATAATGAACGAATCGAACATGAGAATAAGGACAATCCTTTGTTTGATTTTTGACTCGAAATAAGGAAATTATATTTATTATTATTTTTTATAATAATATTATATATATATAATTTATTTATTTATTTATTTATTTATTTATTTATATTTAAATAATAATAATTTATGTGGTCAAACATAAATACAATATGCTTGAGCTACTACTTTAAATCACATTAATAATGCTATTAAATCATGCTATAAAATCACTTCAGAGATAAATCCGCTTGCGGGGCGTCGTCGCACTTCTACTGGTGCTCGACTCTACACTAAAGAACCATCGAACTTAGCTATCGTGCAGTCTCATCTGCGTCGCAGTTGATCTCCGCGTCTGCCATGTCAAACGTTCGTCTTCTCAATCGGCCTCCTCAGGTTTTCTTAGGTCACTGTTTCTTTCTTCCTTTTTTTTTCTCCTCTTGTAAATTCGAGAAATGCATCATTTTATTCATTTATATCAGTGCTCTAATGGTTCTAATTTAGTTTTTTTTTTTTTTTTTTGTTTCTGTTTTTAATGCTTTGGTTTTGGGTTTTATCTGCCTTTTATGAATTAATGTGTAATTGTGGCAAAGTTCGGTTTTAAATATCTTGGGTGTGAGGAAGAACTTGAAAGAGCACATGAATCTACGGCACCTAATTGAACAAAATATGGAATCACAGACTTATGTTGCGGTCTTGAGTGATCTGCTGTTTTTGCGTCTCCCATTCTGTGAAATCTTTTCGCTGGAAAGGAAATGGACAATCATGTATGGAGAGGGGATTTAATCATAATGAATTGGTTAATGCATCGTATAAAATCACGTAATTTGGCTTAAAATTGACTTTGAGTCATTTAGTAAATCTCTAATGTTAGACGATTACTTAACAAAACCTACAAAATGGAAAATATTTCAACATTTTCATACCTAGCTAACTCTAATTAGTAATGTTTACTATTCACTATTTTTTTTTGTAACGTATATGTTACCTCCAAATAATAATCAATCTAGTAAAATTTCTCAAATTTCTAATCATTTTAGCTGTGGTGCCTTACATTGATACTAATCCAATCAATATGGTTATAGATAAAGTTATTCACATGAATCACAATTGGTAGTGTAGCAAGAGAATAAAATTGAAAATGTGAGTTTTCCATGATTAAAATGCCTTAAAAATGGGGCTTGAGAAAATCTAATGACAATGATAATGAGTCCTTTCATTGAATTATGAACTTGTCAAGCATGAGGTTTCTGACTACCTTAATAGGTCTTTCGAACCTCATCGAAGCTTTTCGTTTAATTTAATATTTTCGCTTGAACACCCGAGTCTACCATTAATTACATCTTCTTCTTCTTTTTCCTTTTGCTTGATCTAATAACTTCTTGTACTTTTATATTGAATGTGGCCTCATACTGATGTATTTCACCTTTTTGACCGTCATCTACAATGAAGAAGATGATACCAATTCATGTAATGTGGAAGCGGAACTCCTTGATTCTATTCTTTCTTCTTACTTGGCCCAAATCTTCATAAGGACTTGGAGAGCTTAAGAACACTTTGATGCTTGAAATATGAAGGTTAAAGATGGAAGGTAGCACGCGGATACAGCTTTCAAAGATGAGAGAAACTAAACTTCCTAGTGATTACTGATGCCCCTTGTCCCACAGGCGGGAAAGGGTTACTAGCTTTCCACGTTACAACGTCGACTGATGACGTCTAGTAAGCGGTGATTGATGGAGGTGAGCGGTGACTAACAACAGTCGATGACGGTCGGTGGTAGTTGACAGAGGTCAGCGGTGATCGACGGTGTTCAACGGTGGCCGACGGTCGTGATGGTCGACAGAGGTCGGCGGTCGTTGTCGACGGTCATCGACGATGGCGAGGATGATCTTGGACTTAAGCTCCTTCTCAAAACCTTAAGTTCTCTCTTAAGCCTCCTCCTTCATGTGAGGGGTGAGACTCTATTTATAGTGTTTTGAGTGCAATTAATACAGGAATATGAACCATTTTGATCGGACCATTTTGATCAAACGGCTTACAACTGGGCCAGACCCCGTAGTTTTTCCCTTTTTACGGGTTTTCCACGTAAAAACTTCTGGTGTTATTACAGCTTAATTCATTTTCATCTGAGTGTGTGCTGAATTCTCGGGCAACGCTAAGACGATTATCCATTACTCTACCGCCGCGAATTTTCTAGCACGGCATCAGTTTGGCGTCATCAGGGACGATGGCTATAAGAAGGGAGAATGCCCTTTTTTCCTTAGATTTTGAATAACCATTTAATTGATTAATACATTTCTAAGATGCCTTTTGTATGAAAAAATAGGTCCTCATTGCATGGTAAGGATACTTAAGACCAACAAGACATGATATATCTGTATTTATTACAAATTTAAAACATAATATAAAATTTGAAATATTGAATGGGCATATCATTATTATCCATATGGAGAAGAACCTACAACCTTGTGTGTCTTGCATTAGGTTCACAGGCTTGAGCCTCTATTTAGGCATTGTTGGGGGTGACTAGTAAAGCTTCAATATAGTCCTGCTAATTATGTCCTTCTTGATTGGAATGTAGCTTTTGGACATTAGGTACAAGTGCCAATAATGGTCAAATTAATTACTTGGGTAGTTGCAGTAGACCTTTAGCTTTGTTTTCAAGTTTCAACAAACCTAATAAGGCTCAGACTCTTTTGATCAGTATAATTTTATAGAGCTTCTGTTGGGTTGATGGAAATTAGACATATTTCAAAGAAATCGTGATATGCTCGATATCTGTATTAATACCTTAAAATTTCATTTTTTTAGATGCTTCTTAGTGGCAAAAATGTTTTGGTTATTTTAAGCTAGTTGTGGTTGGCCTGTAATGGAGTTGGGTTTGAGCTAGGCTTCAATTGATTACGCCATAAATTTCCACAGTTATCATATGGATAAAAAAAAAAAAAGCACTTAACCCACCTTGCATTTCACCCACCTTGCATTTCAGGTCAGCCATCCCAAATTTTATCCTTATTAACTTAAAATTGTTAATATACAATTATCTTTTAGCAAATTATGGGTCAAAGACTATGGCCAGCCCCTCCAAATTATCATTTAATAAAGCTATAAGAGAATTATTTTGATTTTATTAAAAATAATTCATATTTATCAAAGATATACTGAATTTATTAACGATATGTGTGATATGTAAAGACAGACTAGCATTAAAATAAATGCATGGAGTATCCAGAGATTTCAGTAGTATTAGAATTACATGAACGGTCAATTGAAAAACTTCATTGGTGTAGTCTATCTCTTAACTTTTCAAAAATCAATTTTGCTTTACATAGGAAAATGTGCTTATACAATTCTCATTTTGCCATTCACAATCTTTAAGGCTTAGTGAACATATTTAGTAACTTATGAAGAAACTCCTAAATCTATGTGAAAGTGTGATGCTTTAATTTTATTCATTAAACAAAAATATCACAATGTCAACACAACAACACCAAAATAAACCTAAATTTTTATGTTTCAATTTGCTTATGAAGATGCTTATAAGATGATTCTCAAGGGTACCTTCATCAATTTTTGTTTTGTTAGGTAAGATATCCTTCTAAGTAAAATATTAAATGAAAACTGTTGAATTTTAGAATAATGTAGAATACTTCAGAATGTTTGATTTTATTGATGCAAAGAGGGGTATAAATACCTATTACAGGACTTACTGGTATGGAAAATAAAAAAAATAGAATACAGTAGAAAAGGAATATAGCATCAATTAAAACCATATTCAACTTGAAGCTCTTTTGCTAACAAGAAAGTAGAATACAGTAGAATACAGTATAAATACCTATTTTCGAGATCTTTTAACACCCCCTCTAAAGTTGAACATGGTTGAAATCATATTCAACTTGAATTTGAAAACATCGGATGCGGTATGCTGACTGGACATATAGCATCAATTTGCTAACAAGAAACTCCAACAATCCTTAAACCGTAAGTGCCGAAGTCGAGAATGTCGAGGCCAGAGGGCGCTGAAGCCTGAGGGCGCCGAAGCCTGAGAGCTCTGAAGCCGAGAATGTCGAAGCCTGAGAGTGTCGAAGCCTGAGAGTGACCAAAGCTTAAGAGTGGCTTGGACGAGAGCTAAGCTCAATTTCAAGATATTGATGAATTTATAAGTCACTGGTTGACTGATAATTGCATGAAAGCAACAAGCAGGCTGCAATAATGCTGCAGGAGAGATGCAGGAAAGCTGCAGGGAGGTTGCAGGAAAGCTGCAAAGGATGCTGCAGGGAGGTTGTAAGAAAGCTGCAGAGGGCCAACAACATTGCTCAGGAAAGTTGTGGTGCTCGAAGAAGGCTGCAATAATGCTGCAGGAAAGAGCAGTGCTTTCCTTGGGAAGAGCTGGCTGAAATCTGCAGGGAAAATTTTTGTTAAGGTAGATCCTACGGTGAGAAAAGCTGCATGAGGGAGGTCTGACGGCGGGAAAGGCTGCAGGGGAGAGAACCGGCTACAAGAGTAAGCCCGAAGGTCCATTTGGCAGCAGATATGTCCGCATGAAGTTCTGACTGCAGGAAAGACCGCAGGAAGTTCTGGCGGCAGGAAAGGCCGCAAGAAGTTCTAGCGACAGGGAATGTCGCAAGAATTTTTGGCGGCAGCAAAAGCCGCAGGAGGTTCTAGCGGCAAGAAAGGCCGCAAGAAGTTTTGGCGGCAGGAAAGGCCGCAGGAGGGAGTTCCAGTGGCAGGAAAAGCCATCAAGGGATAGGTCCGGCTGTTAGCAGGGAATAATTTCCGATGGAGGAAGATTTGTTGCCAAGGAAATTCAAGCAGCGGAATTTGAACAAAGGAGCTCATGCAGGGAGAAGTCTAGTGCTCGGAAGAACAGGAGGAGCTCCAGAGGAGGGCCTGCAGATTAACGAAAAGATGTGGGCAGAGAATCGATTGAGATGAACCGGATCTGCTGCCATCGAAAGAAGATGCAACAATTCGAGGTCTTCATTCGGAAGCTGGTACTTGAGGGTGAATTTCAAACCACCAAGAAGATGCCGAGAGCTCTCAACCAGCATTAGTGAGGAAGTGACTCTGGCTAGCCTACAAGTTGGTAGAGGAATTTTTTGTTGGCCTGAGGACCGGATGCAGGGAGATTCCAGCAGATGAGCCTAAGGAAGAGGTTCTGCAGCTAGGAAGGTCTGTAACAGGATTTTTCCGGACAAGAGGAAGAGATCGGGCAGAGGGCCTGAAGAACTTGGAGAGGATTGGTTGTTGCTTGCTACGACTTGTTGCTTATGGGATCATGAGGAGATCCTGTTGTTGTTGCTATAGGGAGAGGATGCAGGAGATGAGCATCATGATGGCAGGCATAGCCAAGTCTAGTGTCCAGCTCACATTGCTCTGGATATAAATAATGAAGATGGATGGAGA